GTTCAATTCGAGGGGATACACTTCTCTATGCCTGACACGGAGAATAAATTCTCACGAAGACATAGAGCATATGAACCCCGAAAGCTACTTGCTATGTCTGACACGGAGAATAAATTCTCACGAAGACGTCGCTTTCACTCCCACTTAAAAGGGACAAACTCAATTATAGAGCTTTATGTTATGCAATGCAAGTGTTGTGTGTGAGGAGAAATGTTCAAACCTCTGACAGAAACATAAATAATGAAATAAAATACTTGCAATAAAATGAAATATAAATACTATAATAAAAAGTATAATAAAAAATTTGAAAAGAAAGAATTATAAATTTAATATATGAATTTTAATTTATAATTAATAGAGACAATTTATAATTGATTTTAAAAGTTTGACCATTCCCCAGTGGAGTCACCAAACTGTCGTAACCGGTTTTCGTCCGGGTACGAAATATTTATTTGGCGGGAAAATTGATGTGAATAAATGGTTTTTGAAAATAATTTGGGAGTTGCCATCGGCCTTTTAGGTCAGGTAGGTCGAATACCTAAAAATTATTTTTTTTAAAAGAGTTTTAAGAAAACATCAATTAAAAAAATGAACTGATCTGCGTTTATAACCAAAAATTTGTTCTTTTTAATAAAAAAGGATTCGTGGTCGATTACGTTTAGGGAAGGATTAGCACCCCTACAACGCCCAAAATTGGTACTTTTTAATTATAAATTGTCTTTATTATTAAAAATTTAAAAATTCAAAATATATTTAATTTATAATCCTATTATTTCAAAATTATATAAAAAATATTTAAAAATATCGGAAAAGGACTTCTAGGTGCCTTAAGACAGCTCTTTTCTTTGATATTAATAAATATTAATTTGAATAAAATTAAATAATTTTTTTTTATAATATTTAATTTTAAAATACCAGAATAGGACATCCAGTTGTATTAAGACTGCCCTTTTCTTCGATATTGACAAATAAATGTTAAAATAATTTATTTAAAAAAATATAAATTATTATTTATTATATATATATTTATGACTACATAATAATAAAAATATTTAAATATATAAACAAGTAAAATTAAAACAATAAAAATACAATTAGAACTATATATTTAAAAGCAATAAAATAAATGAAAAGATTTAAAATTAGTGACTAAAATAAAATTATATAAAATTTGGATATTAGAATAAAATAAATTAAAACATACTATTCAGATTAAAATATTAATTATTAAAATTATAGGACTAAATCTGTTATTTACCCTAAATATATTATTTTAATACAAAGGACTAAAAATAAATAAAATTAAAATTAAAGATCTGAATTAAAAGGATTATAAACTCGATTTAGTGACTAAAATGTAAAGATTACAAGTTCAAGGGATGGCGGACGGGATTTAACAATTAAAAATTACACAAATAGCCCTCCCCGAAACGACGTCGTTCGGGAAGGGCTATTTAAAGCCAAATCCGGCTGGCCCTTCGGGCCATATCTCATTTCTTTTTTTTTATTTCTCTCTCTAACTGAGAGAGAAATGAAATGCTCTCCCCTCTCTCTAGCTTCCCTCATCGGAGGAAAGCCGGTCACCGGACGGCAGCCGTCTGCCGCCGTGACTCTCAACCCCGGCCACTGTATCCGGTGGCCGGAAAAAAAATATTTTTACACCATTATGTAGATCGGACCGTCCTAATGACGGTTTCGATGCTCTTTTCTCCTAAACAGTTCCCAATCAGAGCAAATCTAAAGAAGTACCTTCGGTTTTCGAAGGTTTTGGTGACGTTTGAAGAGGTCCGGTGGCTTCCTCGGTAAGCTTCTTTCCTTTCTTTTCGTTTCTGTTTTGGTTTACTGCTGGTTGTGGGTTGTTGCTCTCCGTTTTTGTATCTTTGCTCTCTGTTTCTGTCTCTCTCGGTCCGGTTTTTTTTCTCTGCAGATGGGGTGATGGTTTTATAGCCATCACCGGTGTGGCCATCGGACCGGGTAAAAGAATACCCTTCGGTGAGTCACCGGACTCCCAGTGGTGACTCACCCCATGGCCAGAACGTGGACGGCTGGCGTTGGAACTTCTGGAGCCTTCGGTTGGGGCGTGGCAGCAGCTGGAGCGACGTGGAGCGGCGGCAGCTGGTGTAGTCCCTAGGGTATCATAACCCTAGGGTTTTGTCTGGCGCCATCTGGACCGTTGGATCTAAGTTAGATCCAACGGTGGAGAAGCAAAGCAGCGGCAGCACTAGGATAGAAAACCCTAATTGGGTTTTAGGGTTTCTGATTTGGGCCAGTCTATTGGGCCTCGATTTGGGTTTTGTAATATTAATAAATAATATATATTAATAATAATAATTATTATTATTATAATTATAAAAAATAATAATAAAAATTTAATATCTTCACACATCATCATCATCATCGGAGTTGAATTGCGGTGATTTTGGGTGAATGAATAGTCCAGTCTTAGCACCATCTGCACCAGGCTCACGAAGCGGTTCTTCTGGTGGAGATGATGGTTCTTCCATGCTCTCCACATTTAGGTCGAAGAACCTACTACTTGCACGCCTTCCCCTTGAACTGGAAGGCATATCGACATTCAGATCGAAAAAGCTCACATTCGAATGCCTCCCCCTAGAGCTTGAAGCCATCGTGTCAAATGGAAACTGCATAGATTGTTACGTCGATGGCATCTCCATATTAAGGTCAAAGGGATTTGCAGATGAATGTCTTCCCCTTGAACTGGACGCGATGTTGCCAAACAGATTGTTTGCCGACCCACCTCGGTACATATCGTAAGGAGTTACGGATGAATGTCTTCCCATTATGGCATTAAAATCATTACACATTACTGTCGTCGGGATGTCAACTTGATCAACTTGTTTAGCCAGCCCATAGTGGGAGCTTAATGATTGACCCCGAACAACACACACTTGAATAAAATTTGCATACATCTCAATATCGTCGTCTGAATAATTATTTTGAGCTTCAACCATCATTTCAACATCATCACTTTTCAAAAGTTTGAACGCTGTATAAGTTAATAGCAACAATGATGTTGGAAATTTGTACTGCAACGATGACATTCTTCTACTACTTCCAACATGAACCTTCCTCGAAATCTTTGTTATCAGCTCCTCAAGAGTTATGTTTCTCTTCAATGATATTTTAACACGCTCATTTGATATGAAAACAACATCGGTTTCATCTTCTCGAATTTCACCATCATAATAAACAATAGCTGAAAGTCGCACCATTCTTTGAGTTTAAAAGTGCGACAATATTATATCTGCAAAAAAAAACAACTGAAACAAAACTGATTAAATAAATAATATATGAACAAAAATATAACACAATATAATTTTTACACATAAACGTAAATAATTTAAATAATATAATTTTATATTATTACTTGTACCACAAAACTATTTCGACTTATGCTCCCGCCTTCTAATTTTACAAACACAGAAATTAATTGACAACAATTATTATAATATTTTTTCAAATAATCATAATAAAAAATAAGTATGATAAAAAAATTATCACAAAATTACCTTATAACGAAAAATCGCACGAACTTCTGAATCAAATATAAGAAGATTGTTTGATTGTTGTATGAATTTTTTTCTAATCGAGAGGAGATGTGAGGAGTTACCGGGGGGAAGGGTATTTATAGCCGTGAAAAGCTACAAGACGCGGTACCTGCACTGCGCCTTACATAATTATATCATAAAGCTAAGACGCGACCCCTGGTCCGCGGCTAATATAATTGTGTTAAAGGTAGGGCGCAGTCCCTGCCCTGCGCTATACTCCAACGTGGCCTAAGGCGCGCCTCAGGGGCCGCGCTTTACACACGTGTATACCACGTCAGCATAAGACGCGCTACAGGGGGCGCGCCTTACCCCACCTGGCACCACATTAGCGTAAAGCGCGCTCCAGGGGCACATCTTTCTATAAAGAATGTTAAATCGGGAAATATAATCTGAACGGTGTCTGATTGAGAAAAAAATGATGGATGGTGATATATCGGGAAAATCACCCTATAACGCATATGTGTACCATATGAAAACATGACTTTATTTAAGGCGAAATGAACATTTATGATTTTTATTATATTTTTATTTTATCAAATTACTTCGAAAGTAATATTATCTTGGGTAAAGTATACGAATGGTCCCCGATTATAAAGTATTATTTTATTAAGTCCATTGATTATTAAAAGTTATAAAATGATCCTCCGATTATATAGTGTTGCTTTGTTGAGTTCCTCGACTATCAAAAGTTACAAAATGGTCACCCGACTATTCATTATTTCCAAACTCATCCTTTTTGGTTAAAAAAAAGACGATATTCTGAGTTGAAAGTTAACATGCTAATTGTGATATGATAAAATCTAATCCCATAATCTCAAACGACTATCACATCTCAGTCATCATGTTAACGTCCAACTTAGACAACCATCATTTTTTTAACAGAAAATGAATAGTTTGGAACATAATGAATAATCATATGATCATTTTGTAACTTTTGATAGTCAAAGGACTTAACAAAACAACACTCTATAGTTGGAGGATCATTTTGTAACTTCTAATAGTCGAAAGACTTAATAAAGCAGGACCTACAATAAGGGGACCATTTGTATACTTTACCGTATTATCTTTATATTTGATTAAGTTGATATCATATATTAATTGGATGTTAAATTAAATGCTAATTCAATCGAAAAAAACAAAAAGGTATTGATATTATAATTGTTTTATATTTTTTAGAATAAAAATGTTAGAAACTAAACACATTTATTCAGGTAATTTCTACAAAATTATCCCCCATTTTTTTTATAGCAGTACCTATCAAAACATTAAATTTAAATATCGTAGAAAATAAAAAAACTAAAAATAAAGCATTTAATATATATTTTTGGCAAAGCGTTTAATGAACTTTTATGAAAACTAACTTAAATATTAAAAAAAAATAACTGATATATAACTTAAGTGAAGAAGATAGAAGTGGCCTTTGAGAATCTTCAACGAAAGTAACTGAGAGCCATATCTCTGTTTGAGCTACAGTGTGTCTCATCCACAGAAAAAAATCGCTTCTCTTTAATGGTGACTTTTGTGGACTGAGGATCTTTCTCTCCGGATATCATCCTCTCATCTGATTGTATGTTGGTGAAGAACCCTACATGTTCAATCTTTGTAATTTCCAGCTCTTTTTAGATGCAGCTTCTCTACTTTCCATTAACTTTTTGTCCCAATCTTGTTTGCTTTCTCTGGACTATCATACAATTGTATTTCAGTATCTGTTTGATGTTTTATATGCAACTGTAGTTTTACTTTGGTTGAATCTAACTTTGAATTTTTACTACCGTTTATCTTTGATAAGCATGCATATGATATATGGTTTCGAGGCCTGAGTGAGACATTCGTCGAACACTTGGCAGAAGACCAAATATTTTGTAGATAATTTGGCATTTCGGGAGAACCGACAGCCAAAAACAGTGACAGTTTGAGAAGAAAAGAGAGACTAAAGTTTGGAGAGAAAATGAGTGGAGGGGAAGAAGGGGCAACGTTGGAGTTCACGCCAACATGGATTGTTGCAGCAGTTTGCACTGTGATTGTTGCTATTTCTTTGGCTATGGAACGTTTGCTTCATGTTGTTGGGAATATTTTGAAGAAGAAAGAACAGAAACCACTCTTTGAGGCTCTTTTGAAAGTTAAAGAAGGTAACCCATTTCCTTTTTCCTCTCTGATTTTTCATTTTTGATGTCAAATTTGATTGGAAGTGTTGAAAGGAAGGCCTTTTTTCCCCCTGTTCTTGTTGAAATTGTGTCTTTTCAAAAAGACAATCTTTTATCTTTGTCTATCTATCTTCTGTTTCCTAAAGGGGGGAACTTAAAAGTGATAGTTGCATTTATTTTTCTTATTTACAGAAGGAATCAAAGAATTAGCAAAGATGATCCTTTGAGCATTTTGAAGGGGAAAATGATTAAATATTGCTTTTCTATTATTATATGTTCAAGGATGCGAAATTTGCATACTTTTCTTTGAAGTTTATGTGAAAGAGTGAGTTTTTTATGCGTGTTTCTGTTGGGAGAATTTTTTCTATTTAACAAATTGTAGCATTGAAATGTCTTTTTCTTTTTGGCAGAATTGATGCTCTTGGGCTTTATATCACTATTGCTGACAGTATTTCAAAGTGCAATTTCTAAAATCTGCGTCTCAAGGGAAATATTAACTAGCATGCTTCCTTGTAAACTTGAAGAAAATAAAACATCACATTTTCAGAAGTATTTTGCTTCGACCCTGGCTGGTAGAACCAGGCACCTACTGGCCGAAGAACCTGCATCCCATCTGGGATATTGTGCTAAGAAGGTAGCATATGCATCCATGACCAAATCAATGGTTATTACTTTTGTTTATGCTATAAGGAAAAACAAAGAATTAAGTGCATATTTTTTCATGGTTGGGAAGCAACTCATTTTGAAAGTGTTATTATGGTTTTGATGGTTCACACTGAGATATTTGTAGCGTAGGAAATGCATCTAGGATTTGAATATGGTCCTATGCATCTTATTTAATGACAGTTATGCAGGTTTTGGCTGAATTCTTTTAATTAAAAATTAAAACGCTTTGATTAATGTATTTAGTGTTTCTTTATTTTTGTGGTTCAGAGTAAGGTACCTTTGTTGTCTGTTGAAGCACTCCATCATCTGCATATCTTTATCTTTGTCCTGGCCATCGTTCATGTGGTATTCTGTGTTCTCACAGTTTCCTTTGGAGGGCTAAAGGTAAGTAGTTGATTATGGTTTATTTACTTATTCTTCAACCTTTTTTCTGGTCGCAGTACAGTTCTTTGTTTGTTCTCAACTTCTCATAAAATGATTGGTTTATTTTATTTTATGTAGATACGACAGTGGAAGCATTGGGAAGATTCAATTGCTGGAGAGAACTATGATTCGGAGCAAGGTAAGGACTAAGGGATGTGCAGTGTACGCTTCAAAATTGGATCAAAGAAGAGTGTGCTAGTTCTTTTTCATTTTTTTTATAAGTTTTTTCCTTGGTTATTCTAGCTTATTTACTGTGTTAGTGCAGTGTTGAAGAAAAAAGTCACTCATGTCCATCAGCATACTTTTATCAAAGAGCACTTTCTGGGTTTCGGTAAAGATTCAATTGTGCTAGGGTGGTTGGTAAGCTTCTATTTAATTTATGATACTATACCTTTGCTATTCACATCTACAACAATTGAACTTAATGAAAAGGGATTGGTTCCAAAATTTCTTTATCTTCTTTTGCCAAGAAATTGCTGCTGCTTGTCATATGTAAGAATTGGCATGAAATATGTTTGTAAAAGAATTGTTTTGTTGGTCTTAGGAGTTAGGAAATTGAATGCTAATTGAGCATAGGGCGTTCTTTTGTTTGCCATTGTTGGTCATCTGTCATGCTTTATTAGTTATATGTGTCTGCGCTTATCCTTGCACTCATTTCTGCCTCTTGTGGTTGATAAAATCATGTTTGATCCTCGTAGCATCTGGTTTAAATTGTGAATGGAAGGATTAATTTTTTCCACAAGAGTTTTTACTTGGAATTGGTCGAAATGGAAGAAAATACTGTAGTATGATAAAAAGTGATGGTGTGCCTTATAAGATGCGGAATAAGAGCAAAAGTCATAGTTAAACCGGGTTTTTTTATGCTTAAAATAAATATCCTTCCCCATGCGGAATAAAGCGTTTTGGTTCTTACTGGTATCTTGATTCCCTTGTCTCCCTTTATGTTCATAATTTTGATCACTAAAAGACATTCGATAAGAAGCAATCTTAATTGAGCCTCAAACATTACTTTAGAAGCTGAAATTTGTATGCTTGTGCTAACCATGACTTCATTCTTCTTTGTTTTCTCACAGCATTCATTTTTTAAGCAATTCTATGTATCCGTGACCAAATCAGATTATGTGACACTAAGGCTAGGTTTCATAATGGTAAGTTTTCTGTGGCAGGGTCGAAGAACTTTCTTATGGCTGTAAAATCATTCTGATATCCAATTACCAAATACTTATTATTTGTATTGCAGACGCATTGCAAGGGAAATCCCAAGTATAATTTTCACAAGTACATGATACGAGCCTTAGAAGATGATTTTAAGCAAGTTGTCGGTATAAGGCAAGTGAATATGAGATTGTTTGTAAATTTTTATGTCTAGTGTTTCTTACACATGGCAATTAGGTATGTTCCCACTTCGAATCGTGATTACTTTATTGCTTCATCTTGATTTATTGTTTTTGTTTGTTTGTCTGCAGTTGGTATCTCTGGATTTTTGTGGTCATTTTCTTGTTGCTGAATGTTAATGGTACGTAAGAACATTGATCGTTGTTAGCATTATCGTGTTTTGATGTTTAATTGCTTTTACAATTTTGTCAAAAAAGTAGTTTCATCATATAATATGAACCTTTACCTTTTCTTCTTTATGCTTCTGTTGCATGTAATAGATGTTCTTGTCGAGATTACTTCCTAGCATTAATGTACCGTGTAAATGATGAAATTTTCTCAATTTTTCTTCGGCAGGCTGGCATACATATTTTTGGATTGCTTTTCTTCCTTTCATTGTAAGTAGTTTTCATATGGTTCCTTACACACGAAAATGCATATGCACAAATATAAACATTCATCTATGTACTCGAAATAGAATTAACCAATTCTGAATTGAAGAGATCATTGCATGGACTAATCCATTTTATCCGGATTCGGGGGTGAGTAACGGATACTGCCATATATGCATCAAGGGTATGCTTATTTTTTCAGAATTTATTCCATTTCCATATACATGGAGGATTGTATCCCTAATTCCTTATAACATGTTTGAATGTCTTGGAAATCTGTGTCGGAATCGGTACTTCAGTTAAAACAAAGAGGCCTTGTAACACAGCTGATCAATAGAATAATAGAATCTCATCCTGCTGGTAAAGATCAATATTGATAACAATGTCACTAATTGATCTATCAGAAAAAATAAACAAGGGAAGAATACCATTGAAACTTGGGATAAATTCGTCGACATTAAAAAATTACTTTTGTTTGCATTATGCCTTTTTTTTACTTGATTCATTTGTTTCCAGCTTTTACTTGCTGTGGGTACCAAGCTTGAGCATGTGATTTCCGAGTTAGCTCATGAGGTTGCTGAGAGACATGTAGCCATTGAAGGGGACTTAGTAGTCAAGCCATCAGATGAACACTTTTGGTTCAACAAGCCTCGCATAGTCCTCTTCTTGATCCATTTTATCCTCTTCCAAAACGCTTTTGAGATTGCATTTTTCTTTTGGATTTGGGTAAGCCTATATTTTAGTTTACTATTTTGCCATATGAACAACATAGCAATCTGGATGACATAATAACCACTTTCTTCTTCATCTGTAGGTTCAATATGGCTTTGATTCCTGCATAATGGGTCAAGTTGGTTATATCATTCCTAGGCTCATTATAGGGTAAATAATCAATGACCATTTGGTTTACCTTGCCGTGTGATGTTGGTTCGTTTTAAAATTTTTCGACTTCCGGTAAGTTGCTGGCATTTATTCTTCCGTTGGTTTCTTCAGGGTTTTCATTCAGGTACTCTGCAGTTATAGCACCTTGCCACTGTATGCTATTGTCACACAGGTAAGTTGATTTTATAAATTCAATTCCATATCCGGAACTCCAATTTACATGTCCTTTCTCTACCGAATTGAAGATGGGAAGCTCGTTCAAGAAGGCTATATTTGATGAGCATGTGCAAGGTCATCTCGTTGGTTGGGCACAGAAGGCAAAGAAAAAGAAAGGCTTAAAAGCTGGCACACAGACTGCAGCTGAAACAAAACCGGAGCAAAGCCCTTCGGTTTCGATTCAGATGGGGAGAGTGCTGCGTAATGCATCTGCTCCAGAGGAGATCCAGCCTTCACAGGGCCCTGAGGGCTCAAAATGAGCAGCTGTGAGAAGCGAAGGAGCCTTGGTAACAGCATTTGTGATGTATTTATAAGTCCGGTGGTTTGTTTTGCTCGGTTACTAGTGTGCCGTACGCGTAAAGCTACTGTAATGCTTACTGCCATGTTTATATAAATACCAGTATTATAATAGACTAATGGGTAATGTTCATTACGAACACCGTCAATAGAAACCGCCTTAGTTGATCCTCATTTCCCACCTGCGTGAAACTGCTTGCGAAGCTATGTTTCCTGCATAATTATACGTGTTACACATTTTCATTTGAACTGCATTCAAATATGAAAATGAAATATTAATCCTCAAAGCTCTCCAGAACTGTATAGAAAAGAGTATCAAATGAGTCATTTATCTGCCATGGTGAATGTATTTGATCCGAGGCCACATACATATTCGTACAAATAAACGCAACATAGTCGGACAAGAATGCTCGTACACATAAATGCAACATGGTCGGACAAGAATGCTCGTATCTGGAAAAATACATAAGCCCAAATTAGACTCGGCAAATTTATGTTATTATTAAAACAATATAATACAATCTATAAGTAAATTTAAATAATATATATATAAATAAAATTTGAATCAACTCCAACAACTTAATCCTTAGTTCGAAACGCACAACACAATTATATAAGTAATACAACCTTTTTATTTCGATTTTGAACACGTTAGATTTTTTTTTTAATTTAATATTTATTCATAATTTTTATTATTTATTATAATATATATATATTATATTTGTTCGAACCCAATACTAAAAAAACTCTACCAACAACTAGTTGATTTAGTGGGATGAGACATTAGATCCCTTAAGTAAGGTTAAGAGTTCGAATCTTGGCGATTATGAATGGAGCAAATTGGTCGGGAGGGTCGTCGTTACATTTTTAGGTGTCTACTATTAAAAAAAAGCGTTCGGTAATACATGCCACATCTATATTTTAAAAAAATATTTTTAAATATTTTTTATACACTTAATTTTAATAAAAAAAATTAGACACTAAAAATTAATTTTATGTATAATTTAAACAAATATAATTTAAACATTTATTTTTATATTAAGATTTTAGATTATCAAGGTCACTCAGTAATTCTTGTATCGTACCGGTTATAGTTAGGGATGACAATGGGTCGGGTCGGGTTTTTGGGTTACCCGACCCGAGAAGAAAGGGTTCTCCACCCGTGAAGAAAGGGTTCTCCACCCCGTGATCCGACCCTACCCGAAGAAATTAAGGTTTCACCTGACCCAACCTGACCCGAATATATGACTTAGAAACCCGACCCGACCCGAAATAATTAAAAAAATATTTTTATTCAATAAAAACAATGACTTAATTGAAAAAAAATTATATATAGAGGGGTAATATTGTAATTATCCCTAAATATATATGTAAAATTATATATATTTTTCGGGTCGGATCGAATTTTTTTAACCCTAAACCCAACCCGACCCAAATAGTGCATTTTAAAAAACTGACCCGATCAAAATCCAAAATTTTAAAAAAAAATTCGACATGATCAGGTCGGGTCAAAAACCGTCGATTCGGATTGAATTGCCATCCCTAGTTATACTTGATGTCCAACTTCAGAAAATAAACAGTACTTTCTACTTTTGGACGAAAACCCATTACCAGGAACAACTCCATGACTTCAGATTCCATGGCAAAAACTGTGGTGAAAACCTTCCTGAAAGCCCCCCATTCTCTGAAAACCAAAATCCAAGCCAAACAACTCCATGCCCAATTCCTCAAAACCCAACCCTACTCTCCTTCTTCAACTTCAATCCTCATATCCATCTGCACCAACTTCTATCTCCTACAGCACTCCCTCTTTCTCTTCAACTCTCTTGACTCCCCCCCACTCCTCGCCTGGAAATCCATTATTAAATCCTATGCGGGTTCCGGCCTTTTTGTCAACTCCTTGTCTTGTTTTGTCAAAATGCGTAGTTTTGGCATATACCCGGATCATACAATGTTCCCTTTTGTGCTTAAAGCTTGCGTCTTTTTGAAAAACTTGAGGTTGGGTGAGTCTATTCATGGTTGTATTATTAGGCTGGGTTTGGACTTTGATTTGTTTACTGGAAATGCCCTTTTGAATATGTACGCAAAATTTCAAAGCTTACAACTGAATGGAGGATGTAAGGTTTCCGCCTTTAATGTGTTTGATGGAATGCCAAAAAGTGTTATTAGATTAGATAGTGTGCCAAAGGTTCTAGAAATGATGCCAGAAAGGGATGTAGTCTCATATAACACTGTAATAGCAGGGAATGCACAAAATGGGATGTATGAAGAAGCTTTGAGGATGGTTAGGGAAATGGGGAATGCTAACATGAAACCCGATTCGTTTACTTTGTCCAGCGTACTTCCTATATTTGCAGAGTATGTGGATGTCATGAAAGGAAAGGAGATTCATGGGTATGCTATTCGGCATTTGTTTGATTCTGATTGTTACATAGGTAGTAGTCTCATTGATATGTATGCGAATTGTGCTCGTATAGAAGATTCATGTCATGTATTTAATCTCTTACCTACAAGGGATGACATCTCCTGGAATTCGATTATTGCAGCTTGTGTTCAGAATGGTGTGTTCGATGAAGGTCTGAAGTTATTTCGACTAATGTTAACAGCTAGAGTAAAGCCAAGGGATGTCACATTTTCTAGTATCATGCCGGCTTGTGCATATTTGACGACACTGCATTTAGGGAAGCAACTTCATGGATATATAATTCGAGGTGGATTTGATGATAATTTGTTTATAGCGAGTTCACTTATTGACATGTATGCCAAATGTGGAAACATCAGGGCAGCAAGGTGGATTTTTGATCAAATGGAACACCATGACATGGTTTCATGGACTGCAATTATAATGGGACATGCATTACATGGGCATGCTCATGATGCCCTTTCATTATTCAAGCAGATGGAAAAGGATGGAGTGAAACCCAACTATGTATCATTTATAGCTGTCTTTACTGCTTGTAGTCATGCTGGATTGACGGACAAAGCTTGGAGATTTTTCAATAGTATGAGCCAGAATCATGGTATTAAACCGGGCTTGGAACACTACGCAGCTATGGCTGACCTTCTTGGTCGCGCAGGAAAGTTGAATGAAGCGTATGAATTCATTAGCAGCATGCATTTTGCACCTTCAGGTAGTATCTGGTCGACACTGTTATCGGCTTGTAGAGTCCACAAAAACCTTGAGTTGGCCGAAAAGGTTGCTAAAGAGATATTTAAAGTTGATCCAGAGAATGTGGGAGCTTATGTTCTGATGTCTAATATGTATGCAGCGTCTCGGAGATGGAAAGAGGCAGCAAAGATGAGAATCTTTATGAAAAAAAAAGGCATAAGAAAGGAACCAGCTTGCAGCTGGATTGAAGTTAAAAACAGCGTTCATACTTTCATATCGGGCGATAAATCACATCCTCTATATGATGGAATATTTCAGGCGTTGAAAGATCTTCTCGAACAGATTGAACGTGAAGGCTATATCCCAGACACAAACGAGGATTTCCACGATGTTGATGAGGAGCAGAAGAAATACTTGCTATTTAGCCATAGTGAGAGACTGGCTTTAGCTTTTGGCATCATTAGCACGCCAGCTGGGACAACGATTCGAATAACCAAGAACATTCGAGTCTGTGTTGACTGCCACACTGCTATAAAGTTAATATCAAAGGTGGTTCAAAGAGAGATAATTGTGAGGGATAATAGCAGATTTCATCATTTCAAAGATGGAGTGTGTTCATGCAGAGATTATTGGTAAGAGGCTGAAACTGAAAATGATGTTGAGAGCTGAAGCCTTGATCATCTATAGGTTTAGAGATCAATATTTACGTGCAGTTTTGGCTTTTGAGAGTAGGGTAGAAGATTGCAATGAGAATCTATGGAGCACGAATCAGTTAGAACTTGTACATTAGAGATGAAAAAAAAACATATCTATTGTTAACCCAATTAGGGGTCCATATGATTCGGACTCGAGATGAGTGTCGAGTTGTATATGTGTCCAACATGGATATGTGAAATTTGCTTTTAAAGTTTTTCCATATATTTGGAGAATCGTACTCATCATATCTAAATATGTATGGGAAAAAGTATCAACCATGAATACATTAAAGAAAATAAAAGGTGCCGTAGCATTGTAGTTGAGGTAATTCAGATGGGGCAAAGAAGGATATGTATTTTGCTATCCAGCAGAGGGAACAAATACTGAGCATATTGACCAGTTAAATTGAATGATCAATTCAAATGAAAGCAGGTAAATTTCTACACAAATTCATACATCAAAGAATCCATCACAAGTCTCCACATCTGAAATATTAAATTTCTAGTACAGGAAGTAAAAAGAAAAATGTTATGCAGGACTTGACATTTTTAAAGTAGCAAGACTAACCAAATTGAAATGAAGTACAATAAATGAAACTAGTTCTTTGGTATGTTCTTTCCAACAATCTTAGCCGGGGTTATACGTAGCAGATTTCCAGGCTTGCCAGGGACAGCGCCTTTGATCATCACAACTCGAAGCTCATTGTCGATTTTCACAATCTTGAGCTTTCTGATCTTTCTTTTGCTTCCTCCCATTCTGCCAGGCATTTTCTTCCCCTTGTACACACGACCAGGTGTTGTTCCAGCACCAATAGACCCCAATGCCCTATGACTCTTGGAACCATGAGACATTTGACCTCTTTTAAAATTATGGCGCTTTATTCCACCTGTGTAAAAATTGGGGTAAAAATCATGTCAGTTATTACATTCCACCAATGGGGAATTTGAATAGCCAAACCAACAAGACCCACATTATGGCAAAGGAAGCTAAAACTTTTAAAGAAAAGCCTAAGAACTCCATATCAAGATGATAAAATCAACGTGCAAATGAGCCAAAGAACATGCTTAGAGCTTAGAAGAGAAGATACTAACCAAAAACACAAGGAGTTTGAATAATATTTGTGTATGTATGCATCTAAATGATCTAACATCAACGAAAAGAACAATAATACACCCATTTCTGAACTCTGCAATTTGACCAACATGAAATTGAAGTCTGTGACACCAGCATAGCATATATTCATGATGAAGCACTGAGCCACACAATTAAATCACTTCAACTTACATATATTCATAATATGCTCATTCATCAACATCTTCAATAATACTAAAATTAAGCAATCTACCATCAATTAATCACCTCCAAAATGCAATACATAAATAAAACCTAACCTTGAAATCCTTTCCCGATAGTGGTCCCAGAGATATCAACAAGATCACCTTCCTTGAAAATCTCCTCAACAGCTAACTTCTGACCAGTCTCAAACTCCTCCACACTCTGCAACCTAAATTCCTGCAAATGCCTCATGGGAATAATACCAGATTTCCCCAAATGGCCCAACTCAGGCTTTGTCAGCTTCTTGTCTCTAACTCTCCTATACCCAACTTGAACAGCATCATAGCCATCGGTAGCCGATGTCTTGACTTGGGTCACTATATTTCCTTCTCTGAAACCTACGACCGTCACTGGAACAACTGTGCCATCCGTTTCAAAGTAACTCATCATTCCAAGCTTTGTGCCCATCACTCCAATGCCTGCTTCCGTGCTCATCGAGACTATATGCGAAGAACACCTCTTCTGGGTAGTTTTGAAGGCAAACGAAAACTGGGTTTTTGTGGGTTTTGAGATAAAAGAAGTTTTGAGGGATAAAGTAGACTTTTGGCAGCAATGGCCTAAAGCAGGGAGAGATAAGGAAGCAACTGCCATTGTTCTTTCGGGTTTGATTCAGAATGAAGATCTGAGCAGAAAATAACTCGGGCAATTGGAGCTTCTATCCTTATAGACCGCCCTTATCCTTGGTCGCAGAACTGAGACACGGGAAGCAATCTACTGCTGTTGGATGCATAGGATAGTTTATGAGACCATTGGTTTGGCTTGAAAATATTCAATTTGAAGCCAAAATTTATTAAAATGGATAGAATTTGAATATACTGTAAATAATTAAAGTATATTATAAGTGGTATTACTAAATATACGTAGGATAGTCTTAGCCTTATCCAATTAATATATTCCAAACAAATTTTTGGTTCACATATAATGTTATTGAGATCAAATCCAATTAAGAATTGACATGTTAATCAGTTAAGAGTTTTGTTGAATTTATTTCACTAACTCATATTTAAATAGGAACTCAAAACGAGATAGCTAAACAGAAAACTTGATCTTCTAAGGGATTTTTCGATTGCATCATCGATTGAACTCTTCAATAATTGAAAGTAATTATTTTTTAGGAGTGTTTGTGATCGTTTTAGTCCCAAGATTTTATCTTTTGACTTTGTAGATAGTTATGCTACCACTACGATTAAGGACATAATTCGTAGCGTGTAACACATATCATATTTATCGTGTCGCTGTCGTTAGGACCCAATTGAAGGATTAGTGAATTTAAAGAATTAAATTGTAAAACAAAAAAGTTGAAGTACCAATTGACGAATAATGCACAATCGGTGGCAGAATGCTTTGGGAGATTTCTTTCACCAATTGTGTAAACAGTCTTATCGTACGCAATAATAACTTTATAAAACTATAAATAAACTTTTAACTTTTTTTTAGAAAAATATGGGTAAACTATACAAATGGTCATTAATGTTTGACTAAGTTTCATTTTTTTCACTGAAATTTTAAAAGTAACAAATTGATCACTAACTTTATCAATTTAAAACAAATCGGTCACTGCTAACAGCCGTTATTATGAGCGACAGAAAGCTGATGTGGCATATTAAATGCTGACTTGGCACCTTTTTACCATCATTTTGACCAATTTTTCTCTCCCATCTCCATACCGATAATGAATTGATTATTGTCAGATCCTTTAACATTGGACGTGTGTGTTAAAACTTGTGATGCTAAGATTGATGGATTAATACTTGTAATAAACAATACTGTTTTGTGTTGACTATGTTTTTTGTAGCTCCCTCTTTGTACAAGTGGTTGGTTGTGTTTCAAATTCATGATTTTTCTCATTATCCTGACATTGAATTTTGACTGGTTTTGTAATCACAGTATGGGATTTGAAACAGCCCATTTAGCTTGTGCAATTTGCTAAGAGATGAGGATTATGATTCAAGTTGTTGATATAAGGGTCTTTAATAATGTTTTGGTAAATTATAAGTTTGGTAACTCATGTTTTGAATTTATCTAGTTTTGATCATCTATTTTTTTAATAAAAAAAGTTACGTAGATCCTAACTGTCATATTTGGTATTGCCGCCGTGTGTCCAACCATCTTATCTGGTTGGACTCGGTACCAAAATTTTAGAAAATTTAAAGAATGGTGTATTTGAAATCCATAACCAAACAGATAGAGGAGAAAGAACATGTGAAACAAGATGAGAAGGTTTGAGTTACCTTCATGCACTATGTTAATCAAGGCTTGCATTCAGATCCAATTAGATGAGAAGGTCAAGTTGAAGCAGCTGTATGGTTCTATGGTTTTTTCTTTGTGTAGAGATGGGAGAGTGGAGATGGAAGATGGAAGAGAAAAATCAGTCAAAATTGTGATCAAATGGTACTAAATCAGTGGTTAACAAGCTATGTTTGTTTTCCGTCACCCGCAATAACGACTATTGATGGCGAGTGATCAATTTGTTACAAATCGATAACGTTAATGATCGATTTGTTATAAATTGATAACATTAGTAACCAATTTGTTATTTTTAAAACTTCAATGGGGAAAAACAAAGACTTACTCAAATATTAGTAACCATTTGTATAGTTTATCCAAAAAATATCAACTTAATCTATTTTTTTGAACAATGACAACCGAGTCTCATTAATAATGGAAGGAATCAAAATTATAAGACATCATAATAAAGAGATAAATTTGGAGATAATAGTCACCAAAACACCCAAACAAAAATAAATAATAAACTTAAAAATACTAAAAAAATTAAAATCTTCATTTGAGAATAACGACTAATATCAAAACCCAATAATTTTCATATAAACTCTTTGTCTCTGTCGAATGAGACGCTTGACGAAGTGATAAAGGAGTGGAGAGCGAACTAAATAATCTAGCAGGTTGTTTCGCTACACAATTCTGATTACATCGCAAACAACCTTTTACCAAAAGAGAGGATCTGACTATATGTGACCACTAAGTAACCAATCAGAAAATAAATATCGTGATGATTTTTGTGTGCCTCCAAAAAAATCTAAAATTACCATATATTTTAGATTTTTTCTATTTATTTTCCATTTAAAATTTATTTTCGTCATCTAAAATTTTATAAGTTTAATTTTATCCCCTAACATAAAATAATACATCCGTCCTGAGCAGAACTGAGGTTAAGTGATAATTATTTGTGGAATAATCGGGGTCTTGCTTTTGGGACTTATGATATACTTCATATAAAACGTAGAGATAGAACAAATGCGGCTATCGTTGCTGGGGTTGTCGTTCATTCTTAAAGCTTAAACCCAACGGCGGACCCTCCCTAGGCTTCTTCGAAGGACGACGATGCTACTCTTCCACCTATTGTTATTGTTATAGATTTACCTTTCAAATAAATAACTTAAGCTGTTTTGGCTTCACTTTCTATCCCATCAATGAGTAATTTATATTTATTATCCAATTTTAGGGTTAATTATAAGGATGATCACTTATGTTTATGTTTTGTTCACTTAAAAAATACATAAGATATAATCACATTCGTTCTTATTTAATTAAGATGTGGTCACCACAAGTTAACTGTCGTTAAATATTTTAGTATAATCACACATTTGATCCTTATTATTTACATATTCTCCCAATATAGTCATACTTTTAAAAAATTAAAATAAATTTACTGCTACAGTCGAATGATATCATTGGCATTGGTACCAGGTGTCGTGTCATGTGTACCATTCGATTGAAAGACTAATTTTATTTTAATTTAACAAAGCAAAGAAAATTGATAGAAATATAAATATAAATATATTA